AAAAAAAAAATGAATAGAAACAAGTTGCTTAGTAACCAACCTTTCCTACACCTGGTCCCTTTTCACCAGTAGGAGACGGCGGGCGATGACAATTACCAGCAAAAATAACATTGAATATTGAGAACCATTGCTGTATTCAAAGCAAAGTATGTTATAACCATAAAAAATAAGCTGTTCTCAAGATTTCAATGTCCATGTGAGGTTTGTGTTCAGCAAATTGAGGGACTAGAGAAGGCTGTAAGACAGAAAGTACACCAGAAGAGGAGTGAGCATCTTATTGCAACAAATTAAAAAAAAAATATATATATATATATATATAAAAAAAACAAAACAAAACAAAACCTTAAACCAAACTGTAAGAGTTTAATGATAGATTGGTTACAATTGGAAAACTAGAATATTGAAAAGAATAAGATTGTTAAGCATATATAAGCTGAAAAACCCTAAAACATTGTGCATTTACAGGACCAAACTAACCTGCGGATGCAATCGAATCTGATCCTTGAACGCCCTGAACCAATCAGGCCTTGTACCGGAGAGGAAAAAACCGTGTAAACAACCAACATTCTTGAAAATAGTTATGAGCTGGGATGAGATTCCAGAAAGTGTCTCCTGTCTGAGGGGACTCGGACAAATCATAAATCTATATCTTGATCAATTAGACGCTTGCTAGGCGGCGGGATAAGACCTAGCACCTAGGATACCTAGGTTGCGTCGTAAAAAAACAAATAAATTTATTTATATTTATCATCATGCATGATTCATCATTCATACATAATTCATAATTCACAAGATACATTATATAAAAAGATTGTCCAAAATCTAAGACATTCACAACTATTATATTAATTTCAATATGGTTGTTATTATTTTAGTTTTATAATATTGTATATTACTATATTTCATCTACAAAAATAAGAATCTATATTCAAAAATATATTAAAAATGTTAAAATAAAAAATTATACCAGCACCATTGGGGCCCAAGCCTAATGCATTGACTAAACCGCCTTGGCGTCGCCTAATTGCCTGAGTGCCTAAAAGGCTAAAAGAGCAGCAACCTCAGCGAAAATTGGGGTGCCTGAGTGCTGCCTAGACCGAATTTTAGAACACAGATCGCGTTCGCCTGAGTTATCATAAACTGAGCAGTTTGCCACTGCTTGATTAAAAAAAAAAAATCAAATCTAATGTCCAAAAGATACTGAAAATCTGAAATGCAGCAGAGGCAAGAGTCGAGTTAATAGACTGTTGATGGGGTTGCACTCAGAGCAAAATTGCCGAAAAAAATTTGGAACCAGAACTGAAATTCAAAGGGGAAACAAAAAACTCCTCAATTCAGAATCCGGTTAGTAAACTAGAGCTGCTTCTATCCACCCAGCTCTTCCCTGGTAACTTTCTGATATCTCTCTTGTGCATAAGGCTCCACATATTTTCTGAATCCTTCCACCGCCCGGCAGCCCTATACACATTGGCCAAGAGCACATAGCTCAAGTGGTAATCGGGTCTCAATCTCACCATCTTCTTTGCAACACGTTCTGCCACAGCAGGATCTGTAGCAGCCCCACAACAGGAACCGAGAAGGTTGGCCCACAAAGAAGGCTCGCTTTCAAACTCTCCCTTCATAATCAAACCCTCGGTCTCTTCTATCTCACCCGCCCGACCCAACAGATCCACCATGCAACTATAGTGCTCGATCCCAGCTTTCACCCCATAATCCTCATACATCGACACAAAGTACTCCCTCCCTTGCCTCACAAGACCACTATGGCTGCAGGCAGATAAAACCTCGACAAAACTTATGTAGTCCGGTCGGACCCCTTCAAGAACCATCTTGTCGAACATCACAACAGCTTCCCTGCCCATCCCATTCTGGGCAAGCCCACCAATCATTGAGTTCCAAGTAATTAGATTTTTCACCGCCATCCTCTCGAAAACCCTGTGGGCAAAATTAACACGCCCGCATTTGGCATACAAATCAACCAGTGCCGACTCAACCACCACGTCCCGCCATCCACTCCTTCTTAGGTACTGGCAGTGCACCTCTGTCCCGGGCTTATCGGCAGACAGGCCAGCACATGCGCGCAGGACGGTTCCAAAGCTGTAGCTATCCTTCTCCACATCTTGTCTGAATAAATCGACAACCATCCCGAATTTTCCCTCCCTGCAGTAGCCCCCAAGCAAGGCACACCATGAGACCGAGTTTTTCTTCTCCATCCTGTCAAAAACGCTCCTCGACTCCTCCACCATCCCACACTTGGCGTACATGTCGACCAGGCTGCTGCCTACAAACACATTTCCCTGGAAGCCGCCCGTGACCGCCCAAGCGTGCACCTGTTTCCCCTGCCTAGACCTCTCGAGGTTCCCCAAGGCCGTCAAGGCACTCCCAAAGGTGAAGCAATCTGGGCCGAACCCATATTTCCGGATCATTCGATAAAACATCCCGAGAGCCTCGTGGTACAAGTCGCACTTTGTGAGGGCTGAGATGAGTGAGGTGCAACAAACAGCATCCGGATCGGCCATCTCGTAAAACAGCCGGAGGCACCCAACCGGAACGCGGCTCCTCCCGTACATGTCAATCAGGGCTGCCACGACCACCTCATTACGCACGAGCCCCCACCTGATCACGACTCCATGCAGGGTTCTCCCGAGCTCGAGACACCCGACCTCCGAGCACGCCTTGACAACAGCAGAGAGGGTGAAGGCGTTGGGGCCCACACCGGAGCGCAACATGTCGAGGTACAGACGGATAGCATCCCAGGGCCGGCCAGCGCGGATGTAGCCCGAAACCATGGAGCTCCAGGAAACGACGTCCCTGTGGGCCAGCCCATCAAAAAGAGTGCGGGCCTCTTTGAGATTGTGTGGGCCCAGCTTTAAGTAGAGGGCCAGGAGGCTGTTCCCCAGAAAGCGGTCAGTGGAGAGGCCGGACTTGATGATGCAGCAGTGGAGTTGGATGCCGACAGCAAAGCAGAAGGACTTGGTGCACGCGTGCACGGCCATGGCGTACGCAACAGGCTTGGAGGTGACATCTTGGGTCGAGTTTATTATAAGGTTGTGGAGGGCGACGGCGTCGGTCACAGAGCCCGCTCGGCACAGGTAAATGAGTTCGGACGCTGTGGGGCGTATGCAATGGAGGAGCTTCATCAATTGTCCAACACTCACATGTTCACTGGGGTGAAACTCTTCTTAAATTCCATCTGACAGAAGCAGTGGATCGTCTTTTTCGTCCCAAAGTACCATTGCTGAACGCAAGTAAAGTGAAAGGCCCAAAGAACACCAAATTTTGTTTCGTCCTAATCTCACCCGAATTGCAAAACTTGCCCAAACCTAAACAGTTAATAGCGACCAGATTAAGATTTAAATCTTAAATGGCAACACCTAAACAGAAGTGAGATGCCCAGAAAAGGGGATTAGGATTTTGAACCTATTATCATCTAAGCTGCTTATTTTCCATCAATTAAAACCATGTGGCACACCAAGTTGTTCACTTGAATACAAATTACACAATCTAACAATATGAATTACATTAACAATCAGACTTATGGGTACCAAATAGAAACACGGCGTCACCAACAAACGGCGAAGGAGAGTGGAGGCCTCACATACACACTCATTACGAAGAACAAACAAATTGACTCAGGAAATAAAATCAAAGGGCACGCTGAAATAACAACAGCGTGAATCTAAAACAGTAAGTCAAAACTCACTCGAATCAGATTCCAACAGACAGACTGCGGTAGGAAAAAGGTGAAGCAGGCTACAAAAACCAGTCGATCCAGAAATTAAAATCGAATGAGCAACTTCAAGAGAAGCTTAAAGAAATATGTTAAACAATGGAAAACAAAACCAATTAAAAAAAAAAAAAAAAAAAAAAAAAAAAAAAAAAAAAAAAAAAAGGAAGAGAAATTTTGCACCATGTATGGTACATGTAACTTTTTACTAGATAAATACAACATCCTTATAAATATAAGCAAATTGTTATACATAAGTGGAATTTTACCACTTTTAAAAGTTATCATTATAATTATTATA